AAAAAATAATAAACATACCAAGTTAGATATACCAAAAACTACAAATTATACATAATAAACAGACATTATATTAAACAGGGAAAATATAGCCAAATATGTTTCAAACTAGCCCGGTATTTACCCAAGTCATTATTTTATCATAGTTCACAAAATGCATCAGATAACATTCCAGAAGTAAGCACTTATATAAACATTTAAAAGGGCAACATATAGGTTTAGTGCAGGTTCAAGGACAACATAAAGAGTAGTAGTTTATTCTTGAAACTTAAATTCGCAACACTATGAAGTTAGTATTTGTCTTTGTTTTTTGGTTGAAGTAATGCAATTCATTCAAGTTTCAATTCAGAAGAATAGTAGTTTTTGAAACTTAAATTCGTAACACGAAAATGAAATTCAAAACGCGAAAGTCAAAATCGCGTAGCGAATTTCATTTTCGCGTTGCGATTTTAAGTTTCAAAAACTACTCTTCTTCTGCAAATTGAAACTTGAATGAATTGCATTACTTCAACCAAACGACAAATACTAACTTCACTGGGTTAAAGACTAAACAGTTTCGTAGTTTTGGCAGCAACCGAATGAATTTACTAAGCAATCTAAGTGAAATGGTTAATCTATATATTGAAATTACGAGTAAATTTATCATCAATTTAAATATGAAAAATCTAATAATAATACAAAAATTTCAAAATAAAAATAATTAAAAAAAACTAACCCTTGGTGGTTGATTTTTCATTTGTGGCCGTGAATGGTTGTGAGAGTGTGGCTCTGAGAGATGGAGATAGAGGGGGCTCGCCGGATATGGGGACAGATGTCACCGTAGAGAGTGAGATATGAAGATGAGATTGAGTTGCAATTTAGGGTTTTAGGTTATGAGTTGGGATTTATAGGATATACTGTTTACATTTGTGTTGCAAAATTAATATTCGTGTTTCGAATTCGAAAATAAAATTCGCATTGCAAAAATAAACGCGCTTTGCGAATTTGATTTCTGTGTTGCGAATTTGGAAAATCGCGTTGCGGAAAAGAAATTCGAGTTACGAATTTCAAAAATGAGTTGCGAATCTAGGAAATTCGCGTTGCGAATTTGGAAACTGTGTTGCAAAATTGGAGTTCGCGTTGCGAATTTGAGATTGTGTTGCGAATTTGTTGGTTATTTTCACAAATCCAAAAAAAATTGGTTAAAATCCTATATTATAAGACATTTTCGGTAACTGAAGTTATTTTCTCCATAATTTATGATTCGCTCGTCGATCGATAGTTTTTTATATTTATTTTTTTAGGGTTTAGAGTTCATGTTTTATTACTGTCTGCAGGGTGTATCTAAGATTAGACCTATCTAGGTCATGGCCCACCTGTGCCAAAAAAGGGTAAATTTCTAATTTACTCACCCATTTATTATTTAGTTATATATAATTGTTAGGATTGAAAAAGGGTAAATTTCGGTCACTCAACTATTATTTATCTTAAATCACATTCATTGTTGCGTTTTGGTTTTATTTTGGTCAATCATCTTTAAAAAATTAACGGTGATGTTGTGTGTCATCATAAGATTATGTCACGTTAGGATTGAAAAATAATTTTAAAAATGTCATACTAACAACATTGTTAATTTTTGAACGGTAGGTGATCGAAACAAAACAAAAATGTAAAGTTATATATAATTTTAAAAAAATAATAGTTTAGTGACCAAAAACATAAATTAAGTAATTGAGTGACCAAAATAGTTAGTTTACCTAGATAAAAACCATGTATGAATCATGTTAAGAAAATTATATTGGTCCAATTAATATATATTTTTAGATTTAATCGAAGTATATATATAATTTTTTTATATTTTTAAATTAAAAATATATATGAATTATTTTAGATAAAATTTTTATTATGTTTATATTTACCTAGTTTATAGATTTTTTTATATTTGTCACTGATTACTGGTCAATTAAATTTAAGTGTCGTCTCATTTTATTCAATATACATATATATTAATTTTTCACTAAACATTTTGAATTGATATTTTTGTTAATGGATCGTTAACATTATTAAGGATGATGAGATAGTCATTTTCTTTTTCTTTTTCTTTTTCTTTTTCTTCAAAAAAATTGTCAATGTTTCCGATTATTGCTGTCGGTCAGTTGTCATCTATAATTAGTTATCATTCATAATAAAATCGATATCAAATGTTCACATTTCTCTCATCTTTCTTCTCCTCAAATTGATTTTCTATAAAAATTCATTCAAAATGTCCGGAAATCCATACAAAGGTTCAACTTTTAAAAATGTTATTTATGCTATCAGTGGATATATACAATATGCATGTCTAAAAGCGATTACTGTTGTGGTTACGAGACATGTTTAATCATTAATTTGGTTGGTGAACTAGCCTTTAATGCTGTTTTGGAATCCCTCTTAAATTGTAGTGCAGTTTGGTCGTTGGCACTTGTCATTCACGAAAGCAACGGGTGCAGGTAGCTCTAAATTAGGGTTGCTTTGCTCCCATGAGTTCATGTAGAACATGGGGTGTGGGGGGCATGCAAAGGAGACAAACAGCTGAAAATAAACATGCAGCCAACTGGAGGCTTTGAATCCCTGCACATCCAACTCATTTTTCTGCATTTCACTGTTTTCATGTGTCGGGTACTTTTATAATGTACTTCCACCTTTCAGGTGGATGATTTACCATTTCAAACAGGGTAATTCTTTTCCTCTAAAATAATACTACTATATTGATGATTGCATCACCTAATATTTTATGTTGAAGGTAGAGATTTATAAAACTTATAAAAATTTAGAGGATGAAAAATAAATTATTAATATAAAATACATATAATATACTTAAAGTATATAAGAATTTAAAATTTTCAAGAGACAACTATTCCCGTCAGCCATCTCAGTCCATCCCTATTAATGGGCATGGAGCAACATTGGAGCAGTAATGGTAATGGGGTTGAAAGATATTTTTTTGAGGAAGAAGTTAATTTCTCAAACTGGGTTTTTCTATCATAGTTGCAAGATATGTTGAATATTTCTTATGAATAAGAGAATTTGTTAGCGTAGTTATTGTTGAATAAATGTAACTGTAGATGTCAGGTTGGCTTAATCTTGTGGCTAAAAGAAAGAGGCAGAGGATGCGTTTTAAAAGAAAATATAAGATGGCTGAATTCAAGTTTAGGTTAGTATTTAATAAATTTGATAAATTATTATATGGACCCGACTCATCACGGTTATCTGTGGTCCTAATTAATAAGATCTATTTATTTTAAAATAATTTTCAAATAACTACATACTCCTTATTTATATATGGGAAAGAGGTGAAGATCTACTTTAAAAACAATGAGATAGATTGATTTCATTTGTTAAGACCACGAATAACATGGTGAGCCAGATCCATTTAACAAATTTTCAATAAATTTTGAGTATAAATTTTAATATTTATAACTTTATATATATAGAAAAATATTTTTTTATAATTTAAGGCATAGCAAGTGCTTGAGAAGTATAATCAAATAATGTTGCTATATAGACGTCATCTCAATTTTTATTTATTTAATAATTTTAATTTTTTTAGAATATTCTCATATTGTCGTCGATATTGTTGTTCTTTGATATCTTTTCCTATCATTATATATACTGAAAATTCATCTCATTTTCCTCTATCACTTTATCAAATTTTTTTTTTCAAAGTCTATTAAAATTCATAAAATTTCAACTCAAAACATAAATGATTCAGATGCATAATCTCCATCGTTTGATCACCATAAAATCAAGAGACGTTAATTGTTTTATCCTTCTCCACCTTCCTATAGTTAAAATATGGAAGAATATCTTTATCATCAGAAAATCAAAGAGAATCCGAAAAAATTAGGTTAAAAATTTGTGAAGGAAAATTTCTGGGGTATTCATAAATTTAAAAGAAAATTTTGAATCATTTTCAATTTTAAAAAGTGTATGCCTTATCATAACAATGTTAAATAATTAATAGAGTGACAGAGACTGAATAATGTCAAAGTTAGGTGATTAAATTAAAAAATTTAATATTTTAATGAAAAAATGAATATGGTCAAAGTTGAGTAGTTTAAATTTGTAATTTTTCCAGTTAAATATTGGATGAGGATTTCATAAGATTAAATCAGATCAAATCATTAGTGATGGAGTAAAAATCACACCCCAATACTAATAGTCAATTAAGATGACAATGAAATATATATGATTACTCATGTCTTTGCCTTTTCTTTTTCTTTTTTAAAAAAATAATCTAACATTTATTTTAATTACAAAATTTAAAAGGTTAACTTTAATGAAATTCTGAAAAATATTTATTATTGAAATAAATAATATTTTTAAATAAATTTAATTAAATGATATTATTTGAATAAAATTTAATATACCCTTGGAATAATTCATTGCTTTTTACTTTTTGTTTCTTCATTAACAAAGCAAATTCTATCACATTTGATACAAACCTAAAACCCATATTCCATCCCTAATTAGAAGCTTCTAATTTTGATTCATTTGGCATGAAAAGAAAAGAAAAAACTTGAACTAAATATTCTTATGGTTTCACACTCTCTAATTTAGACGTGATGAGAGACGAATATAAAATTTTATGTTAGAAGTAAATTTATACAATTTTAGAAGATAAGAATAAATTATAGAGAAAATATAAATTATATAGGAATTTAAAATTTTTAAGGGGACGATTGCTCCCGCGATCATTATTTTATTCTTACATGTCCACTTTGGTTTAAGGATATTTTTCCCTGTCCAAGCTAAGCTACCAAAAAAGATTTCATATTTTGAATGGAAAATAAACAGCGAGTGAGAGAGATGGAGCTTTCCCTCTTTCAACTTTTCTCTCACAGTTCCACAATCTGTGAGGAAAAAAACATAACTTTTTACAAATATTCAACCCAGAAAATGTTATAATTCCTAGGTCTAAGTTAGAGTAACTAATGACTAATTAATTAAACGCAAAATTCAAATTGACGGGGGTTCAAGATCAAGATGCACATTGAAGACTGATGTTAAAAAGGAGAAACTAGCTATAAAATATCTATAGTGCTATGCTTCTCTTGACCATCTTTCTCCAAGGCAATGGCAGACCCTTCCTTCATCTAAGCATAGATGTAAGAGAGCGAAAAACCACTTCTTCACAAGGTATAGTGAGCCCCATGTCATGATCGAACCCGAACTCTTCCTCGGCTCGTCGAAGCAAACATTGGAACTCGGGGAGAGTCAGGAATGAGATCGGGACGATGTATCGGCTCCTGTTTTCTCCGACGTAAACAACAAAGTGACCTTTTGGTACGTCAAGCGGGAGACCATCTTCGTCGTAGCCGTGTTTCTTGCCTAAGCTTGAACATCTCTTCAGGATCTGCTTCAGAACTGCGGTTTGAGGCAGTTTGGATGGTCTTCGAATTGTCATTGCTGTTGTGGGTTGAAAAGCTTTAGAAAGAGTGTTATGGGAGGATTGAGAGGGGAGAATGGAGGGTTGTTTATTTATGGATAGAGAGCCTGAGGAGTCATGTGGGACTGTGGGGGCTAAGCCGAAGGGGACAACCTAGCTATAGGTGTTATTCGGGGTATGTATGTGTTATATGTCCTAATGACAACATGGACCCTCTCTCCCTATTAGCTAACCTCTAATGTTGATATCGAATATTGAAATAACTATCGCAACTTGATCATGATAAATGTAACAGGATTTCAAAATACACATCGACGGGTAATAAGTGTACCGGAGAGTACTATGCAGCGGTTTGGTTGGTTTTTGGAATTTTCTGATTGTTTCGGCTTGTGATTCTGTGGTCCGAGTGATCCAAAAGTTGTTGCAGAAACCCATGTGGTTTATACTGTTGGATTTGCAGGTTTTGATCAAAGAGTTGCATTTTTTTTCATGGTCACCATGCCAATTCAGTTTGGCCATATTTCTTCAACAAAATGAAATTAAGCCAAGTCTGCCAGGGCATAAAGCTCATTTGATTGTTGGGTGCAGCAATTTGCAGAGAATGTCCCCAAGGGGCAGATGGGGTTTTTTTTTTTGTATGTGGTCCTGATGAAATCTCTACCACTTAAATTGGGGAAATATTTATAGTTTTTTAGAGACATTTATTAATTGCTATGCTTCAATTGTGACTCACCATTGATATATTCCTAGCCTAGCTTGGTTCCATGTTCTAAGGCTCACAAAGTGTTTCAGAATGGAATAGATGTCTGATACGGCAATGTCCTTCCCCCCCCCCCCCCAATACATTGGTTAATTTGAAGGTCTTTATGGATATGCCAACTGGAATTCCACTAATATGCAACATAAAGTTTCATTTTTTGTAGTACTAACGACATTGTTGTCTGAGAGATCAATGCTGGCTTTACAGTAATAACAAGGAACAAAAACCTACAGCAAACAAGTTACCCCATAGGTCACAATCTATGAAAGACACTTGCATGTTCTGTGAATGAGATTGGGTGGGAGAGAAAATGGTTGAAGAAATAAACAGGAGACGAGAAAGGCCCACCACCGATCTCTCGAAATACGGTGCTTTTGTTGAGCCAAGGTAGGTCTCTGAGAATGATATATAGTTGAAAAGGACTTTGGCTTTTGTTCATCACATGAAGGCCATGTTACTCTTGCGCCCCCAAGCTCCTCCTGTAAAAGGAAACTGCCCTCTAGGAATCTTTTATCAGTTCCTTAAGTCGTGTTTCGTCGCTTTACAGGCTACTTTTACTACATGAACCGATAAACCGATATGTACTCGAACAAGTACATGATATTAGGTGCTCCTAAACATTAAACTACTGTCATCAAAATGTTCCATCTATGATCTGCAGGCAGAAGAACAATGAACACTCATTGCCCATAAATCCACTGGTCATCATTTGATCCTAATGAATCAGAGATCCGAACAGGTTGCCTGCAATTGTATGGTACATCTAAAGAGCTTCCAGGGAGCACTTAACTCAGTAAGAACTAATGTATTTCAAAAGACTAGAAAGTACATATCACACTCACAGTTAGATTACTTGCCATCATGTGCCTTTGCACCAAAACCAATTTGATCTGAGAGTGAAAGTGTCAAAAATTACAGGACCGCTAAAGATTCACTGGTCAGTGCAAGATTTTAACTGTTGATTCTGCCCGTCAATCACGCTAACCTGTCGTTCGGGCTTAGCAATATGAGCTTGTACCTAATAATATAATGAAGATGTAGAAATATTTGAATTCCTTCACATCTCTGAGTAATAATGAAACAATCCATTTCGAAAAGATGTCGGTGAACGAGTTCGAGAAAAAAAAAACTACGACTGTGGATGCTGAAAATGTAAACATTTTAACGATTCACTATTGATATGAAACTCATCGTGTCAAATGATAGGCTTGATACCCAACCAAATGTAGATCAAAACTAGCTAAAGGAAAGGGGACGGTATGATCTTTGATGTTGATCTTTAATGAAGAAATATTAGCCATTTGATTAGGCTTTGTTGTAAGTGCCTATGAACAGTACATTATTCATTAGCTTGTCTTGTCAATTAGTTCCGTCCTAAAATATCTGAGAAAGATGAGGGACTGAAAAATTTCGTTGTTATCCAAACCATTGACAGACATTTGAAGTCAAATTGTAAGGGAAAACTGCATCATTGCAAATATTAAAATTATGATTCATGGTGAAAACAACCAGAAAGTGACATAAAAGCTAGTAATATGAGACATGTTTTTCTTGGGATTATCATATGATGTGTTTCGGAACTAATAATTCGGCTGATCTGCTTTACTGATGCGTGCTGTAATTATAGGTATTCGAATCTTATATGTTCTTCTGGTTTTGTAAATGAGCAACATGAACTGAACAATGGATTTAATTAGAGGAAACTTAAAAATAGAACCGTAGTGGTTTGTATTAATAAAATTTCTAAGAAGAGTATACATTGGGAAAGTCTCACGTGCGACAGCCTTAACATATGGTTAAAGAAAGACGTTATCGGTTTTATTATTTTTTTAACAAAATCAATAAAAAATTACTGAAAATATTATTATTTCTACCGATTTTGCTATTATTGAGCGTTTTACTTCACCTTCAGTTTCTGCCAAAACAACATAAGGATGTACATCATTGGTAAAAATGTATCAACAAAGGCAACTACTGCAAGCTTGAAGTGAGGTTAAATGGTTAATGAAGAAGTCTTCTCCACAAGGAATTGTAACACCACCCATAAGATTGAATGTTTTCATTTTTTATTTGTGTTCATTTAAATTTTTAATATCATATTCGTATTAGTATATTTATTTTTGAAGATATCTTTATTAGTTCTTTTATGTTTGTGAACATGTTTATTTAATTCGCTTAATATTAGACAATCAACACCCTCTTCTTATTCTTTTATTTGATGGTTAAAGAAAATGGTGAAATTACACAATTAGTCTTTAATTTCCTTAGGTTTCCAAAATTCACCTTATGATCAATTTAATTTCTACCTTCACTAATATTTAAAATGTAAAAAAAGAAAAGAAAAGGAGAATCGAGTAAACGAGCTCATAAATGAGCTTTTTTGTGAACATAAACAATCGAACAAACCTATGTTCATGTTCGTTCGATTATTAAATGAACATAAAAATTTTATTCATACTCATTTACTTAGCTAATAAACGAACATAAACAAACGTTATACAAACACTATATGAACAATTTGTCAAACGTTATGTTCATTTACACTCCTGCGTAAACCACCGTATTTTGCATAACATGTGTAATTCAAATTTTATTTTAAATTAATTTATATTATATACTAATATATTAAATATATAAAATAATAATTAGTTGCCTTGTGCATGTTTCTTAAAGGCGGCCCAATAAGTTGTTGAACTAAAAATATGGAAGGTCCAATATAAAGAAGTCCAGACCATTCTAGTTCTTTCTCAATTTTTCTCCTACTAACACAAGTTCCGGAAAATGCCAGATTCCTCTTAAGTTTCTTATAAATACACAACATATCCCATCTTCTTAACATCAAGAAAGCAGTATCAGATTCCCGCTTTTCGTTAGATTATCTCTCGTACCAAGTTGTCTTTGTTTCCTACTTTAAGAGAAATGGCGATGATCCCGAGTTTCTTCGGCAACAGAAGGAGCAGCATCTTCGATCCTTTCTCGCATGATGTTTGGGATCCATTAAAGGACTTTCCTTTATCTTCTTTACTCACCACCAGCCAAACCTCCGATGTCTCTGCATTTGTCAACGCCCGAATCGACTGGAAGGAGACCCCAGAAGCTCACGTCTTCAAGGCTGATCTTCCTGGGCTTAAGAAAGATGAAGTGAAAGTGGAGATTGAAGAAGACAGGGTACTTCAAATCAGCGGAGAGAGGAATGTTGAGAAGGAAGACAAGAATGATACTTGGCACCGGGTTGAACGTAGCAGTGGGAAGTTTACGAGGAGATTCCGGTTGCCTGAGAACGTGAAAATGGATCAAGTGAAAGCTTTCATGGAAAACGGGGTTCTTAATATTACTGTTCCCAAGGTGGAAGTGAAGAAACCTAACGTCAAAGCCATCGAAATTTCTGGTTAAATTGGAACTTGCATACTTTTGAAGTTTGTCAAGATTTCATATGTTGTTTTGTCCTGTTAAAAGTGATCGATAAAGTATCAAATTTGAGTTTGTGCAGTGATTTTGGCGTCTAAGACTATCTGTAATGTAAAAATGATGCTCTAAATGTGAAATCTAATTGTTAAATTCCTCTCTTTTTCAACTACGTCTGCATTATGATAAGCCAAAGAATTATCTAAGACGAGAAAATGGGAGTTTCATTAAGATATTGCTTAAGAGGTCTCTCATGGTCTTGCATGCTATTAGGGATGAAATCATGCTGTGGTTTGTTTGTTGACAAACAATGAGTGCCCTTCAATGTTGGAACGTGGAAGGGATTTTAGACTAGTTGGATAAGAAAAGCAGAAAAAGAGAAAAGAGAAGATAACCTGCAAAACAAAATATATAAATATTGTTGCAGACAAACAAAAGTGCAAAAGATTGGCAGCCAACTCAAGTTTGAAACACTGTTTCCACAAACTTTAATATTATTCCATCCCCTTCTTAGAAATCTTTACCATTTGGGGTAAACTGGGGAAAAAATGATAATTGATCAATTAAGCCTTCGTTTAGCCGAGCCATCTCTACCATTATGATTGTTTAAAAGTCCTGATATTTGTAATGTTGTATTTGGGTTGGAGTAAGGTTTTGATGTTTTCAGTTACCATTGCTGCATTATGTTCATCAGAAACGATAATTGCAGAAATTTAAATTTAATAGTGGGATGTATCTTGTTAAGGAGTCTAGAAATTGATTAACAATACCCCTGTAAATGCGCAATATCAACTGAACAATGGGATTCACAAATGGAGATTTGAGAATAGCCGAGCCGTAGTTTATATTAATAGAATTTGTCACAGGAGTACACAGTTGATAATCTCTTTCTGCCAAAAACAACAGAAGGATGTACATCAATGGTCAAAAATTGTATCAGCTGATTAAATTGTTTTAGCACTAGGCAACTAATGCAAGCTTGAAGTGAGATCAACGAAGACCTCTTCTCTGCAAGGAATTGTGAGGCCACCCGTTGGATGATTGAATCCGAATTCTTCCTCGGCTATACTTAACAACTTTTGAAACGATGGCTGGTTCAAGAACTAAATTGGAACTATAAACCTCTTCTTTTGGCTTTCCCCAACATAGACTGCAAGGTATCCTTTGGGAACATCCGTTGAGGTGGAGGCTGCTTGATTTGCAAAGAGTTTAGATTGACGAAGAATCTATTTAGCTTGAATAATTCTTGGCACACGGATAGCCATGTTGTTAGCAATTTGAAATGTGAAGAAGACCCAAGAAAGACTTGAAAAGATGAATTGTAGAGGTTTGGTCAGAAGATCCAAGAAGATCCGTTGAGAAAGTATATTGGATAAAGCACTTGTATATATAGATGGATGAATGTATAATGGAAGCTAATGAATTGAGTGGTTGCAATGTACTCTGGTGGGGTTTGATCAGAAAACATAAGAAGCTCAATCACATGCTTGTGTCTTCCAACAGATTATCAAAAAATAGGTAGACATTGAGACTGTGCATCGTTTAATCCTTTTGTGTCTTCCAAGCACATGCTGATGGTATGATTTAGAATTTAGTAGATATATCTATGGTATCAAACTATCAATTCACTTGTGATCAACCTAACGGGGTCTCTTCATATTAATTCTGTCTGCAATCTTCGGAAATCTTCACTTGACTTTGTTGGTTTTTGTTCAGATCAGTAGACCTTCCTAGTTTGACTAGTTTATTTCTTCCTCTTGAAGATTTTTCCAAGGAGGATATAAATCCATTCAAGAATCCTAAACAGGAAAAACCATTTGCTAAAGGCAAATGAATATAAGAAATTTATAGCATGTCCACGAACCAAACACTGGCTTGTGTTTCTTCATTGCAGTAGCTCATAGGACAAGCCCTTGTGAAGAGAGCCTGAAGTGTGTCCTACAGGCTTGAACTTGTCAAAATGTTATTATTTGATTGGGATGCAAGACCATGTGATTTCTCCCAATAGATGTCTCCAAAGCATTCTCTCTTCATCACTCAATTTGCTTGAGACTGCTGACTATATAGAGCATTTGCTCTTTATAAGTACAGATTCTAATGGAGAGCTTCACCCAGCATTTGCTCTTTATAAGTACAGATTCTAATGGAGAGCTTCACCCCGTGCCAAAGCCTTTCCTAGATACTTCTCTAAGTTCCAATTCCACACCCTAATTTACTTATCTTAACAATCTCACAAAAACCATGGGTTTCCGCCTTCCAAGAATTGTTAACGTTAAGCAGAGTCTGAAATGGACTCTTTCATCATCGGCGAAGACAATGGTGCCTAAAGGCCACTTTGTTGTTTATGTTGGAGAAGATGAAAAGAAGAGATTTGTAGTCCCGATATCATTACTGAAGCATCCTTCATTCCAGAATTTGTTGAGTGAAGCTGAAGAAGAGTTTGGTTTCAATCACCCTATGGGTGCTTTGACAATCCCTTGCAGCGAAGAAACTTTTGTTGATCTCATTTGCATCCTGCAAAGCTCTTGGGAAGAAATGGCATGAAAATTGGCTAACCAAGCAGAGATTGACTGATCTTTACCTCAACTGACACCACCAGAATTTTATTGTTTAGGAAGCAAGTGTGTAAGGCGGATTGTTTTCTGCAATCCCATGCCCTTGTCAACTATATTAATTTTTGTAACCAAAATATAAATGACATTTTTTTCAGAGGAAGCCTTTCGTTTCATGAATTCTGTTTCCGATGTTGTATTGTTAATTTCAGCCAATATCTATTTTCCCTGTTCTGAAGCCTTTTACTTCAAATGCTACCATCGTGTATCACTTAACCTATGATCTGTCACGCCTGGTTAAAAAGGCTTCCATGCATTTAAAATATCTGTTTGCATGGAAATTATAAAAAAAGCTTTCAGTTCCCCCCCCCCCCCCGGGGAATATGGGGTCCTTCTAAAAGCATCTCATTTCACCAGTACTGCAGTTGATACCTATTTCTTCACTGTCATAGCCTTCAGACCTCTTTGTTGGCATTCTGGCACACTTCAGATAAAAATGGATGACCATTATCCTTGGTTCAAACTATGTTTTGAGGTCAAAGCTTCCACTAAATGGAAATCAACCCTTTGTTACACCTAGCACATTTCTGTTAAGATTATAGTAATTGATTGGCCTGTAAGAGAAAAGTTTCAGACGCTATGCTTATGACTCATCTTAGATGTTTTTCTTTTTTCATTTTTCATTTTCTTTTATTGAATAAATTAGGCATTTACCTTTAAACATAAAATTGAACAATCAGACGAATCTGACGCAAAACTAAGGAGAGGTAAGCTACCATTACCCTGTTGGCTGCTACACAGTTCATCGGTTGCAAAATTTGGAGGAAAAGTTAATTTTAATAGGGGTTGAATCTTGTTAAGGAATCTAGAAACTCATGGTCACTTTCATTCTGTTTTGCAATTATTAACACTACTCCTGAAAATTAGCAATGTAAAATGACAAATTGATTTAACAAGAGGACATTTGAGAAAAGAACCGCTGTAAGTTGCATTAATAAAATTTCTCAGAATAGAAAACAGTTGATCATCTCTTTCTTCCAAAACAACAGAAGGATGTACATCAATGGTCAAAAAATGTATCAGCTGATTAAATTGTTTTAGCATTAGGCAACTAATGCAAGCTTGAAGTGAGATTAATGAAGACTTCTTCTCTGCATGGAATTGTGAGACCACCCATAGGATGATTGAATCCGAACTCTTCCTCGGCTAGACTTAACATCTTTTGAAACGAAGGCTGGTTCAAGAATGATATTGGAACTACAAATCTCTTCTTTTGGCTTTCCCCAACATAGACTGCAAAGTATCCTTTGGGAACATCCGTTGAGTTGGAGGCTGCTTGATCTGTAAACAGTTTAGACTGTCGAAGAATCTGCTTAGGATGGATAATTATAGGCACACGGATAGCCATTGCTGTTAGTGATTCGGAAGTATGAAGAATATCAGAGAAGACTAAAAATTGAATTGTAAGATTTCCTTGTAGAGTAGGATGTGAGAATGCCTTGTCTGTGGTGTGGATAATGCACTTGTATATATAGATGGAATAATTTATATGGTAATATAATGAAATGCAGATCTGGTGGGGTTTGGTTAGAAGACATAAGAAGCTCAAGATCACATGGTTCTGTCTTGCAACAGATCATCAAGAAAGGGGTTGATATTTGGACTCTACATCTGTTAGAATCCGTTTGTGGTCAGCCTAACGGGGCCTCTTTATATTAAGTTCTGTCTGCAAAAGTCGGTAATCCTCGCCTGGTTATGTTGTCTTTTTGTTCAGATCAATAGACCGTCTTAGATGGACAAGTATTTTTTTTCTCTTGAAGATTTAAGCAATCTTCCTGGGATTTTTTCAAGGTAGATCTTAAACAGAAACAAGGAGCGGTTAAAGGAAAAAAGATATCAGATTTCTATAACATGTCCCAGCGGTAGACACTGGCATGTGTCGTACGGACTGGTAACTTGTTTAATTATGTGGTCAACGTAGTCATGTCATAGAACAAATAATAGAAGTAGCTGTGTTCTTCTCAGCAATAAAGTGGGATTTGGCATACCGAGTCACAATCGCTAGTGGAGACGATTATTTTGATATTTTTCTGGTCTCCTTCATAGCGTTTCATCCATATGATCTGCAAAGTGCTAATTAAGTGAAGTCATCATCTTCTGGTCACGATTCAATGATAATAATTTAAGGTACCAAACTTGTCAAAACTTAGTTATTTGTTGGGATGCAAGGCCATGTGATTCTTCACAATTTATGTCTCCAAACCAATCTCTCTTCACCACCCTGTGCCAAAGCCTTACTTAACTAGTTCTCTAAGTTCCAATATCCACTCACATTTCCTCATCTACCAGTCTCGCAAAAACCATGGGTTTCCGCTTTCCAAGAATTGTTAATGCTAAGCCGAGTCTGAAACGGATACATCTTCAGAGACGACAATGGTGCCTAAGGGCCACTTTTCTGTTTATGTTGGAGAAGCTGAAAAGAAGAGATTCGTTGTCCCTATATCATTACTGAATCATCCTTCATTCCAGAATTTGTTGAGTGAAGCTGAAGAAGAGTTTTGTTTCTATCACCCTATAGGTGCTCTCACAATCCCTTGTAGAGAAGAAGCTTTATAGATCTCATCCGTAACCTGCAAAGCTCATGAGAAGAACTGATGTGAAAATAGGCTAACCAAGCAAACATTGACTGATTTTTAGCTCTACCGATACATCCTAAATTTTAGTCTTTAGGAAGCGTGTAAGGTGGTTTGTTATCTGCAATACCATTCCCTTGTCAACTATATTAACTTTTGTAACCAACGTATAAATACCAAATTTATTTCAGAGAAACTCTTTCTTTTCATGAATTTTGTTTATGATGTTGTGTGGATAATTTCAGCCAAAAATTTATTCTACAAGTTGTGAAGCATTTTAGTTCACAATCTGCTATTACTTCTCACTTAATCTATTAGACGGATTCCAATAGTTTTCAAGATTGGTTGGTGCTTCTGTTCAACCAATTGCTTAAAACATTGAGGCTTTCCTTATAGTCTTTGATTCTAATTATCAGGAATTTTGGATACCGACAGGTTTTGCTGGTCACCACTCAACTACATGGCATTTCATCCAATATGATCTGCTAAGCTAATGTTATTATCACCTGATTAATAGTATTTCAAATGGGTCATTTTTGTTGGTTTCATTGAATGTTCAGCTATGGTAGATTTGCAACAGACTGAAATTAATTACCAAACTTGTCAAAACGTTATGGTTAGTTGGGAGGCAAGACCATGTGATTCCCCAAATCATATGTCTTCTAAAGATTTCTCCATTGAAATTTCTTCGGGGCCACACATTCAGCCTCAGATTACTTGACCAATGCCATAAACCATTCTCTATAAATACACATTGTAAGAACAACCCCTCACTGTCAAAGCCTTCCCAACCAAGCTAGTTACATTTCTTCTATCTACCACAAGCTTTCATCATAAAATCGTGGGTTTTCGCTTGCCAAATATTGTTAACGCCAAGAGTCTAAAACGGAGTCTTTCGTATTATGAGACACAACGGTTCCCAAAGGCCACTTTGCTGTTTATGTCAGGGAAGCTGATGAAAAGAAGAGATTGGTTGCCCCAATTTCATTTCTGAATCATCCTTGGTTCCAAAAGTTCCTAAGTGAAGCTGAAGAAGAGTATGGATTTAATCATCCTATGGGTGCTATAACCATCCCCTGCAGTGAAGAAGTCTTCCTTGATCTCATTTGCAGTTTCCAAAGCTCATGAAAGTTAGATTTGATAACAGATAACCAAGCAGAAACTAACCAATTTGTTTTACATAGGAAGGGAGTGTAATTGGTGGATTGCACTTGTGAACTACAATTGCTTTGTAATCACTCTTTAAATGAAAAGGAACAAATCCCTTTACCAAACTTATTCTTGTCATCGATATTTTTTGCTCTGACTAATTTCATTTTACATCTAATTTGAAAGCATATATTGTTAAGGACTCTACTTAATCACAGTGATTAATGATACTCATGTAAATGAGAGTTATGAAATAAACAATGGATTAAACAAGTGGAAATTTGAGAATAGAACCGCTGTAATTTGTACTAAAATAATTTCTCAGAAGAGTTATACATTTCAACATATCTTTCTGCCAAACGAACAGAAGGATGTACATCAATGGTAAACAATTGTATAAGCTGATTAATCATTTTTTTAGCATTGTAGGTGACTAATAGAAGCTTGAAATGAGATTAACGAAGACCACTTCTCTGCAAGGAATTGTGAGACCACCCATAGGATGATTTGCAAACGGTTTAGACTGAAAAAGAATCTGCTTAGCTTGCATGATTCTAGGCACACGGATAGCCGTTGCTGTTAGTAATTTGGAGTATGAAGAAGATCAGAGAAGACTCCAGAAAATGAATGATAAGATTTGCTTGTAGAGGAAAGTTACAAATGAGTCCATGTTATATATAAGCGAGTTCATCGGAACCATGGACTAAAGTACTTCTCATATAGAATGTTCCTGTCTAGGCTAATAACATGCCACCAGAGTACAAGTCTATGACAGCAAAGAAATAGGTAGCAACGGCAATATTCCTAAAATGAGATGTTTTTAATAGGACAGTTATCAAAACATTTTTTTAAGGAAATAAGTTGAATTTCCATGTAAATAGACCCTGTTAATATATGGGATTAGTACATTGTAGGTTAAGCGATAAATGATGGTAGAATTTGAAATAAAAAGTTTCAGAACTTGGAAAATAGAGTTTGGCTGAAATATGACATCAGAAGAACAATTAATTAATAGAGTTGACAAGGGCATGGATTGCAGAAAACAATCCACCATACACGCTTCCTAAAAAAATTAAAATTTGGGAGGTGTCAATTGAGCTAAATAAAATTTGGAAGGCATTTCATAATTTGGAGGTCTCCTACGGAAATTGTTCTCAATCTAGTATTGGGGACAGTCTACTATCTTATCTCCCCTTATCTCATTACATATGGGAACAAGGGACAGCCATTTTATCAGTCAATCTCTGCTTGGTGAGCCAATTTTCACATCAGTTCTTCTCATGAGCTTTGCAGGTTACTAATGATATCTACGAGGGCTTCTTTGCTACAAGGGATTGTCAAAGCACCCATAGGATGATCAAAACCAAACGATATTGGGACAACGAATCTCTTCTTTTCAGCTTCTCCAACATAAACAGCAAAGTGGCCTTTGGGCACCACTATTGTCTCTGAAGATGAAAGAGTCCGTTTCAGGCTTGGCTTGGCAGTAACAATTCTTGGCAAGCGGAAACCCATGGTTTTGCGAGAGATTGTTATAATGAAGAAATATAAGTGTGGAATTAGAATTTAGGGAAGTAGTTATGTGACAACTGTCGTTTTCGATGTCAAAATAAAATTATTTTTTTCTCAATTAATAAATAAGGAAATGCGTAGTATAGAGAAATAAATGTTGATTCCACAGGTACTTGGAAAATTATAATTTTATGTTCAGTTTATTTAAGTCAGGCGTTAATGTAGTATGGGGGTTTGGTGAAAAATGATTGAGTAACAAAGAGATTAAATAAAAATTAATTAAAGTGAAATGAAAGAGGATAAAGATTTGTAAATAATATGGTAAAAATAGCCTTAAGTTTTGCTTTGACTCAACCCTCTTTTGATCATCGAATTAGATTTTTCCTTCGGGATTGACGTCGGTTATTTTATCTACAAGGATAATCCCTGTGACTCTATCTTGTATACGGAATACCTAAGGCAATCTTTGATTCCGGCTTCGGAAATTGATTCTAACAACATCAATTATCGTAGATCAATTATTGTTTACGTTCGTGGCGACCGACTCGGATTGTTGCTTCAATAACCGTCATTTTGATCTCAATTCCCTCTTGGCGAAGCCATCTCGCCAAGTGTGTTCCCAGGAAGTCGAATTGTTTTCTATAAGCCGAATCTTATTCCCACACATATAATCGCAACAACCTCTTGACCAAATTCAATCTTTAATTTTGAAAACTTGTTTTGATTTCAAAAAATAAGCGCAGAGATTGAGAGATATATTCAGAAGATATTAAGGGTCTGTTTCAATTCTCCCGTTAGAATTAAGTCATCGCGTCAGCTCTCGGCTTATGAAAAAATTAGCTAAACTTGATAAAAGTTATACTTAACATATTGAAAACAAAACTTGAAAAATAAAAGAAAAATAAAAAGAACTTGAAAAGTAAAAAGAGAAAGATTTTATAAAACTAGAGAGAAAAGAAGATTGTAATTTGAGTGATGAATTTAGGTTTATCTCAAGTGAGTATTTATAGCCTCTCAAAGACTAAAGATAAACAAGAAAATAAAATAAAATAATCCTAAGATAATTGTTTTTCAAATTTAAATTTAAAACTAGTCTCTTAATGCAACTTTGCTCGTCCATCTTCCAGAAGGAGTGCGGAGAAAGTCTTTTAGAAACTGTCGCTGACTGAACCTTCTAGAAACTGTCACTTCACACCGCGTCGTGCCCATGTCTCCAGCCGTGACCAAATAAAAAAAAATGCAGAATGCGCCCGTTTTGTCACTAATTCTAGAAAGTAGATACCTACACAAAAACAAACATAACACGATCAATTCAACAACAATAATTTCACAAAATTGAAGAAATAACGAGCAAAGATTAACGATTATGAACACTCATCACTATGAAAGGCTTTGGCCACAGGGTGAAGCTATCCATTAGAATCTGTATTTATAAAGAGCAAATGCTGTATACGGTCAGCTGTCTCAGGCTAATTGAGTGGTGAAGAGAGATTTATATGGAGACATAAATTGGGAAGAATCACATGGCCTTGCATTCCAACAAATAATAATAACATTTGGACAAGTTCAAGCTTGTAGGACACACTTCAGGTGCTCTTCACAAGGGCTTGTCCTACGAGTTACTGCAACAAAGGAGCACATGCCAATGTTTGGCTCTTGGACATCTTATAAATTTCTGATATTTATTTGCCTTTAGCAACTAAATATCAGAAATTATCATGATAATGACATTAACTTAGGAGATCATATGCCATGAGTTGAGTGGTAACCAGCAGAATGAGTCGGTATGGAATGCCCTACATGTTTGTTGGTAATTAAAATCAAAGATTCAGAAATCAGAGTTGTTTGCTCTGTTTGTTCTATGACTTTGATGAACAGAGAACGAAACAAGTTGCCAATCCATGTCACATTGTTTAGTTTGTGCTTTCACAAGTGAGGAAAGCCTCAATATTTTAAGCACTAACCAATCTTGTAATGAATAATATTAGGCTAATCCTCCATAGTTGAAAAATATAGACTACAAAGATCCATAGATTTAGACAAAACAAACTTTTCCTTTAACTTGAATTCCCATGCAAATAGATCTTGTTAATATAAGGAATCCTTTTTAGCCAGGAGCGCAATAAAATGCTTCAGAACTTGGAAATTTGATTTTAGCTCCACACAACATCATAATCAAAATTCATGAAAAGAAAGGGTTTCTCTGAAATAAATTAGGCAATTTATATTTTGGTTACAAAAATTAATATGGTTGACAAGGGCATAAAATAATCCACCTTACGCCTAAACAATAAAATTCGGGAGGTGTCAGTTGAGCTAAAGATCAATCCATCTCTGCTTTGTTAGCCAATTTTCATGTCATTTCTTCTCATGAGTTTTGCAGACAACAAGTGAGATGAACGAAAGTTTCTTCCCTACAAGGGATTGCCAAAGCACCCATAGGGTGATTGAAACCAAACTCTTCTTCGACTTGACTCAACAAATTCTGGAATGAAGGATTATTCAGTAATGATATTGGCACAAGGGATTGCCAAAGCACCCATAGGGTGATCGACACCAAACTCTTCTTCGGCTTGACTAAACAAATTCTGGAATGAAGGATTATTCAGTAATGATATTGGGACAACAAATCGCTTCTTTTCAGCTTCTCCAACATAAACAGCAAAGTGGCCTTTGGGCACCACTGTCGTCTCTGAAGATGAAAGAGTCCGTTTCAGACTCGGCTTAGCATTAACAATTCGTGGCAAGCGGAAACCCATGGTTTTAGTGATATTGTTAAGATGAGTGTGGAATTGCAACTTAGAGAAGCAACTAGTAAAAGATTTGGCACATGGTAAAGCTATTCATTGGAATCTGTATTTACAGAGTGTAACCCTTCGATTTTATCCGAATCTACAAAAATATTTTATCATATAATTATTTATTTTTATTATTAATAATATTTTTTATTTTTAATTTTATAGGCCACATGTTCCATTTACTAGGTGATTACCACTACTCACCACTAGTCAACTACCTCATTTCCACGTTTCTCACAAACACTACCCAACAACCCACTACCCACTAATTAAAAAAACAAAATCCCATTTTGTTTTTCTTTTTAAGGGGGGCACGTGAAGGGGGTTGAAAAAAAAAGGAGAGGGGGTCTGGCTTTTGTTTGAGGGGACAGACGAAAAAACACAAAAAAGGGGGAGAGGGTTTTTCTTGTTTTCTACGGGTTTTAACATGGAGAGAATAAACTGAGGGCGCCAAATGATTAAGATGACAAACAAAAGCAATCTTCAAGTCACCTTTTCAAAGCGGCGTACTGGTTTATTCAATAAGGCCAGTGAAATTATCACCCTTTGTGGTGTTGAGCTCGCTGTTGTTATCTTCTCGCCGGATCGTCCAGGCTCACCATGAGTCTAATGTCTATCAACACAACATGGAGCTTACTCAGGTGATGGGCCAATTAGAATCTAAAAAACGTGGTGAAGAGCTTCACCAAATGGGGAAAGCAAACCAACGACAATACAGGTGTCAGTCACCAGTTGGGGAACTTGATCTCTTTCATCTCCTGCAATTCAAATCTGCCATGGATGGGTTGAAAAGGAATGTGCAAACACAGAAGGTGTGAAATTACAAGGAAAATTAATCGGTAAGACGACATCATTTTTCAAAAGCGCTATTAATGGTGGAGCAAGCGGTTAAGCGACGGTGCTAGCAAATCGGCTGCAACGCTACGTTCACGGAAGGCGATAATCCCGGGGGTTCATGCTCTTTCCACGATTCGGGTCCTATATTTCCTGATGGAATGAAAGAGTGGAGCTGTTGTAGTGGAGGGGAAAAAGAGAGTTGTTACAAAATGCTTTATTTCTCAGAGAAGAATCGTCCCCCCTTTACTTGTGTTTTATATCCCTATTTTTTTTTAACACAAAATTACAATTACAATTGTTTTGCTTCAGTTTTGTCTTTTGTGCGTGCATGGATGATGAGATGAGGAAGCAGAGTGATGAGCAAAGTGGTCTGTTCTCTTTGTGCCGTGTAAAGAAACACGAGTCAAGATTCCTCATTGTGCTGGATGGGGAAATATTCCATGTCCTACCTGCAACGCATACCAAGAACCTGGATTTTATGAAGAATGTAAGATATCCCTCGTTCAAGTACCGTGAAAATATACCGTCCAAAATGCGAAGATATGTATTATCCTCGATCCAAATACCAAGGCAAGATGATGGAGCTTATTTTGGAATGCCATTTCCGCATCTATTTTTAATGACATATGGACACCTAAGCCACAAAAGCCGATACAAAACTATGTCCCAAGAGATTTTTTAGCTTCAAGCTCCATAAGCCTTGATGTGATAGGGGAACAACTGCAAGCTGTAAGTTGAATTGAGATATCCTATTGTGGGGCCCATGAGCTAATAATCCTTTGTGTAAATTGACGTGTTTTGAATTTTCTAAGGGTTAATTCATGCTACAGTCATGCCAACTTTCAATATCATTCATTTTGGTCATTTTTTTATTTTTATTTTTTATTAACTTTTATTTATCTTTGTTATCTATTTTATTTATTTTATTATTATTATTATGTTAATTTTTTCTTCGTTCATATTTATTTTTATTTTAAAATCTAACAATATTTTTTGACTTTAGGGATATTTTTCAACCAATCAAAGGTAAATTATTTGAATTAATTTTTTAAATTTAAATTTAAATTTCAAATGTTCGCAATTAAGACAACCTGCAAATTAATTAGTACCGAAAGGGCGGTTCAAGGGTGCTAATTCTTCTTTGACCGTAACCGACTCCCGAACCTGACACGTTTCTGATAAAACGCAGATCAGGTAAGATGGTGTCCGACCTACCTAAATGTTTTAAATGGTCGGTGGCAACTCTTAATCGTTTAATCCAAGGCGAAGCCCAATTTCGAGATCCAACTTTCGACACATAGCAAATGCTGTATATGGTCAGCTTTCTCAGGCTCATTGAGTGGTGAAGAGAGAATGCTTTGGGGACAGAAATTGGGAGGAATCACGTGGCCTTGCGTCCCAACAAATAATAACATTTTGACAAGTTTGGTACCTTAGAGAACTCACCATTGAAGGGAACCAACAACAATGGCCCATTTTGAAATACTATTATCATTGAATCAAGGCCAGAAGATAATGACTTTGCTTAATTGGCACGCAGCATATCATATGGATTAAATGCTATGAAGTGGAGACCAGACAAAATATCAAAATAATCATCTCCACTACGAGCCAGGTATTCCAAGGCCAAGCCCTACAAGTTTGCTTGATAATTAGGATTTAGTAGACCACAACTGCTTGTATTGTTTGTTCTAAGACTGGGACTATTTTGAACGCATAATTAAACAAGTAACCAGTCCATGTGACATTGTTTGGTCATTGGCGCACTCAACATGGAAGGAAGGCCTTGAACCTCAATTTTTTAAAGCTTGGTTGATTGAACTAAATCATGAAATTTATGGTATTATTGGTAATCCTCCACATTCACTGAATCTAGAGTTTAGAGATCCAAGAAATGATTTTCTTTTACTTGACCTGAAACTTCTTTTTTCTTTTTCAAGTCAACTCTTCAGCTCACATGGGGATAAGGACTTTCTAGTTTGGATAATAATCAACCCTCAGGTGGTTCTGATTTGTCATTTATATATTTGTTAGAAAAATTAATAAAGTTTACAAGGGCGGGCACGGGATTGTAGAGAACAATCCACCATAGACACTCGCTTTCCTAAAAGAATCAGTCTCCACTCCGTTAGCCTTTTTCATACATTTTATATCATTTCTTCTTATGAGCTTTGCTGGTTGCAGGCGAGTTCAGTGAAAGCTTCTTCGCTGCAGGGGATAGTCAGAACACCCATAGGATGATTAAATCCATACTCTTCTTCGGCTTGACTCAGCAAATTCCGGAACGAAGGATGCTTCAGGAAGGATATCGGGACAACAAATCTCTTCTTCTCAGCTTCTCCGACATAAACAGCAAAGTGGCCTTTAGGCACCATTGTTGTGTTGGAAGATGGAAGTGTCCGTTCTAGGCTCCTCTTAGCATTAGCAATTCTCGGCAAGCGGAAACCCATGACTGTTTTGAATTCTACGAAGTACAGGACTGGCTAGGAATGGCTTAGGGAATTGGCACAGGTGGCTGGCTATCCATTAGAATTTGTATTTGTAGAGAAGCAAATGATTTATGGTCATTGGTAAGCAGTCTCAGGCAAACTGAGTGGTGAAGATCGAAGAGAGAGTGCTTTAGAGAAATGTTGTGAGGAATCATATGGCCTTGTGTCCCAACAAATAATATCTTTTGACAAAGTAGGCACCTTAGTCTATTCCGTTGCAATCTATTATAGCTCACCATTCAATGTAACCAACAATAATGGCCCATTTTAGATGCTGTTTGTCATTCAGCCATGGCCAGATGATAATGACTTTATTTGGCATATTATATGGATAAAATATCATGAAGTAAAATAATCATATCCACTAGCAACTATGAGTAGGTATGCAAAGCCCTACATGTTTGGTGATGATAAGGATCAAAGACCGGACCTGCTTGTACAGTTTGTTCTGTACGAATCCGTTGAACACAAGATTATACAAGTTAGAAGTCAATGTGACATTGTTCAGCAGCTTGAACAAGTTAGGGTCCGGTGATCAGAGGGAACTTTAGTGGGTGAAATTTTGATTTTATAATAGGTTGAAAACAAGCACTAAAACATCCTATTGATGATGTTAAGCCTATTAGTTGATCCTGTCTGAGATGACCGGAAAAGTTAGCTCTTCAACCACCATGAGTGTAGGTAACTGTAATCAAAGCGCAAGTCAACCCTCAAGTAATTCTAACGTGAAAACCCCTCCTTGGCGCTGAAGTGTCTCAGTACATGGCATATTCATAGTTTCCTAGCTGACCAATAGGTTTCTTGGATACATACAAACCATGGATGAGGAGACGAGAGAAAATGAGAGATGCTGGAATTCTATTATTCAATATACAGGAAACAGATATCAGAGTTTGTATCACATATGTAAGTGGAGTAAGTCTTGACTTAATTGATTTTCAGCTCATTAAAAGTTAATGAGGATCTTGAGATGTATGTATAAAGCTTTGGACAATAGGTAAAAAGATTTTCTGTATGGTAATACTTGGCATAGGTGTATTGATATTCTGAAGTTTCTTTGACCAGTAAATGACAGTGATTTAAGTGTTCAAGATAGGGTTTCGCTTTAAAGGGATTTTTTAAGGTCGACATGTATCATGAATCACATGGATATGCCTTCCACTAGCTATATTGGTAAGATTTCCACAGATATGCTAATATAACTTTTTCAATCATGAATTATCATGGCCTACCACTCAAATGAAAAAAAATGGTGGCCCAGCTGAAATTCTCATGGAGTTATCATGGAGTTTATGATTATAATGCATGTGCAAGTCCAACATATCAGCGAGTGAAAGTCTGAAAGAAAACTGCTATAGACTGTATACAACATGCAGATCAAATAATTCACCTATAGTAAAGAAAAGGCAGAGGTACAAATTTTTCCGAAAAACATGCGGTTGTTTGGAATATTCTGATATTTCTCAACAATAACAGTGTAGGAACTAGGAAGGACATTGATGCTTACATTTCACCTTGATGCATACATTTGATATAGACCATTCATTCACATTGAATATTCAAGACATTTGATGTACACCATTAATAGTTCATTCATTTGACATAGACCATACATTGAACATTCAAAGATCAAATAATATGTGAATGTATGCAGTTGAATTGTCAACAATATATATCACACACCGATTCAATCTGTCGGAAACCGTCTTCTCATGTTATGCGCTACTCCTACACAATACGTGCTGCAACCCAAACTTATAACTAGCTTAATGAAGTCAACTAAGAAGCTACAGGTATTGGTGCATGCATTCATATGTTGGGTTTGACTATGGATTCATTAGCTGAATTGAGTGTGAATTGACCAAGTTAGTCCTGGATCCCAGTCTTAAATGAATGGATGAGGATGATTCCACTACCGTTACAAAAAGTTAGGTGATCTTAAATGGTCTCGAAACATCGATTCAGAAGCATGTTGGGTAGTTGGTACTAAAGCAAGTAAGAAACACGGGTCTAAGTTCAATGCTTTAGTGAATACTAGAAATGAATCTTCAATAGCCTAGGATCAAGACGTGTGTTTGTTGAAATCAGAGCCTTTATAAGTTCAAAACAAAGGGAAGTTATATTCACTTAAAAATTTCACAAGTTGCCACTTTCTTTTGAGGTGGTAGGGCATCATGCCTTACACCAGACAAAGCAGAACCATGTGAAACTTAACTAATTGCTTCACCTGGTATGTTTCTAAATATTCTTCTATAACATATCACTATCCTATCCATTTTCTTTAAGGTTTGCAAATTGCTTTTACCCCCTCTATATATTAGGCTTTAAAGATGCCACTTTCAAAAACCAAGTCTTCAGCCTTCAAAAAGCACTAAAGCTTTCTTCTTTCTGCCATATATTTTCTTCAGTAAAATGGGTATTCAACTGATGGGATTAGCTCATGCTAAACAAAAGCTCCAGCGAACGCTTTCAGGTAAATTTGGGAATGCAGCAGCATTGGGAACATCAAATGTCCCTAAAGGCCATATTGCAGTTTATGTTGGGGAAGGCAACCGGCCGAAGAGGTTCGTGATTCCAGTGTCGTACTTGAACCACTCTTTGTTTCAAGACCTGTTGAATCGAGCCGAGGAAGAGTTCGGATTCAACCATCCAATGGGTGGCCTCACAATTCCATGCAGTGAAGAGTACTTCATCAGTCTAACTACAGTATTAAATTGTTCATAGATGCTTCCACCACCAACAAAGGATGAAGGAAAAAAACAATCATTTTCTTGGCCTGTAAACATACTGTAATTTGTAAAAGACAGAGAAAAGTTGTAGGGCAATGAGATTTTGATTCTTTGCTGACAACAATGCCTGTTGTTCTGAGCAACTTTGCTTGAAAATCAGATCAACCATTTCATTTCATTTCATTTTTTTATGGAAATTAAATTTGAAGGTATTAGATATTAAAAAAATTAAAAATGTCAAGATTGCATCCACTAACAACTTTGATTTCATATTTACTCCCATAAATAGGGTTGTAAAGTTTTTTTTAATGTCATGAAACTAAAAAATCTTAATCAAATAAAAATATAACTCAACCATTGTTTTTATATTATTAAGCTGTGATTGCAATGTAGTGTCGTATAATAACGTTTTTTAAGATAATTATAATACATATTTATAATTTAAAATTATAATTATATTTTAAAAATAACTTATATCATGATATTCACAACCGCGACATCCGTAACCATGAAGGAGTCCTCAAAGGTTTTTCATGCATGGAAATACTACAATTTGGAGCTAAAGCAACCGGGAAAATACTACTAGTTTTAGGAAGATCGCCTACTGGTTTCCACATCCAAAACAAGCAATTGTTAGATTTGGCTTGAAATTAAGTTGGCAAGTTGGAAATTTCATCTTGGTTGGTGGCCAAACTTTGAATATGAGAATTTTATATTTGGTGGCTAACTTGTACACATTGGAAAATTCTTTGGTAGGTGGCCAACTTATTTTTCATGTTTGATCCCTAAAATATTAGGTTATTTATAAGTTTAGTCCTTAAAACTCAACTATAAATAGGCCTAAGTATTTCATTAAAAATCATCTCAAAACAAGTTCACTCTTCCTCTTGTATTCTTCATTCTCCCACTTTGGGAATTCTAAAGAATTCCATTTGTTGTAATATTGGCGATATAATGAAGTTATTATCCGGTGTGGTGCCCGAGGAGTAGACGATATTCTCGTCGAACCTCGTAAATTTTGTGTTCTCTCATTTATTGTTTTTATTTGGTTTTTTTCCATTGTGTTTCAATATTCAATAGTTTGATAGATTTATCCGCTGTGTAACCTTTGGTGGTTTTGATCTTAATATTTTAGGTCAATTTTGAAACTATATTCGTGTGAGAAATAACCTAATTTCCACAACAATTGGCATCAGAGCTTCGGTTGAGGTTATCCTGGTGGTTCCGTTGCTGAAAAGATACAGTTCGTGCTATTGAATATTGTTCGTTGGAATTAAAATGCCAAAATACGGATCAGTTGAGACATCAAGCTCTTCATCCGGACCGGTGAGGAGGATGATGTCAAATGCAAATTTCTCGGTGGAGTTGTTCGATGGATCCGGTCATTTTGGCATGTGGCAAGGCAAGGTGTTAGACGCTTTATTCCAACAAGGTCTAGACATCGCCATTGAGGAAGAAAAGCCCGAATATATGGAGGAGAAAGAATGGGGAACAATCAATCGTTTGGCGTGCAGCACGATTCGATCTTGTCTTTCCAGGGAGCAGAAATATGGCTGCAAGAACGAGACTTCTGCAAGAACGAGACTTCTGCAAGTAAGATGTGGAAAGCATTGGAGGAAAAATTCCTAAAGAAAAGCTCTCAGAATCGTCTCCACATGAAGAAAAGATTATTCATATTTGATTATCAACCAGTCACCAGTATGAATGAACACATCACTACGTTCAATGAGCTAGTGGTAAACTTATTGGGCATAGATGAAACCTTCAAAGATGAAGATTTGGCCTTGATGTTGTTGTCATATCTTTCAGATGAATTTGAGCACCTTGAGACAACGCTACTTCATGGTAAGGATAATGTTACCCTTAAAGATGTAACTGCTGCTTTGTACTGTTATGAGCTCAGGAAGAAAACCAAGAAGGAGAGCAAGTATGAAGCAACGGATGCCATGGTGGCAAGAGGTCACTCGAAAAGTCAAAAGCCAAAGTGGAAAGGGAGATCAAAGTCGAAGTCCAGACTGGGAAAAGATGAATGTGCCTTTTGTCATGAGAAATGCCATTGGAAGAAAGATTGTCCGAAGCTTAAGAAGAAAGGAAAAGATGCTCTAGATGCATGTGTTGCAGAGCATGATGCAAATGACTGACATATCATTGGTTGCTTCATCAACAACAACATTCCATTCAGATGAATGGATATCAGGTTGCACCTATAATATGTCCCCTAATCGGGAGTGGTTCTCCGATTTAGTAGAACTAAATGTAGGAGTTGTTTATATGGGCAATGAAATGCCTATAAAACTGTTGGGATAGGTTCAATTCGATTAAAGAATCAAGATGTATCAACCAGAGTTCTGACGGATGTCCGATACGTGCCCAGTTTAAAGAAAAATCTCATCTCGTTGGGAGCCTTGGAATCCAAAGGCTCAGTAGTCACTGTGAGAGATGGAGTTTTAAAAGCCATATATGGCGCACTTGTGATGATAAAGGGCATCAGGAAAAATAATTTGTATTACTATCAAGGTAGTACAATTATTGGAGCAGTTGCAGCAGCTTCCGGAGGTGATGATTTGGACGCAACCCAGTTGTGGCATATGCAGTTGGGACATGCTGGAGATAAATCCTTGCAAATTCTGGCAAAGAAAGGATTGTTGAAAGGTGCAAAGGCTTGCAAATTGAACTTTTGCGAGCATTGTGTTCTGGGAAAGCAGAAGAGAGTGAAGTTTGGCACCACTATACATAATACAAAAGGTATTGTGGATTATATTCACTCAGATGTATGGGGTCCTTCAAAGACATCGTCTTTGGGAGGAAACCATTATTTTGTAACTTTTTTAGATGACTTTTCCAGAAGAGTTTGAGTGTATCCGATGAAGTCTAAAGAAGAAGTGCTTCGAATTTTCCTGAAATGAAAAAACATGATCGAGAACCAGACTGGTAGAAAGATCAAACGTATTAGGACGAACAATGGAGGGGAATATAAAAATGACACATTCTTTGACATTTGACATGAGTATGGTATTGTTCGACACTTCACTGTTAGAAATACACTATAACAGAATGGGTTGGCAGAGCGTATGAATCAAACACTATTGGAGAAATTTCGATGTATGTTGTCTAATGCTGGGTTAAGCAAGGCATTTTGGGCTGAGGCTGTGACATATGTTGGTCATCTCATCAATTGTCTACCGTCATCAGCAATAGGAGGAAAAACACCATTGGAGGTATGGTCTGGAAAACCTGCTACTGATTATGATTCCTTACATGTATTTGGATCCACTGCTTATTATCATGTGAAGGAATCCAAGCTTGATCCGAGAGCAAAGAAGGTTTTCTTTATGGGAATCACCCATGGAGTGAAGGGATTTTGCCTTTGGTGTTTAGACACCAAGAAGATAATTTGTAGCAGAGATGTTACCTTTGATGAATCTGCCCTAATAAAGAAGGTAAAAAATGAAGCTGTCCAGACAAGTAGTACTCCGCAGCAGGTGAAGCATGCTCCAAAACAGGTGGAGTTTCAGCAGACGATGATCCCAGAAGTTGATGCAGTTGATTCTTCAACTCCAATAGAAGAATCAGAAGATGAAGATGTTCAAACCCAAGAACCATTGGAGACACCAAAACCACTTGCATTTACAAGGCCAAGGAGAGAAATTCGTAGACCTGCTCGATTTGTTGATATGGTTGCCTATGCTCTTCCAGTTGTTGATGATGATATCTCTATCACTTACCAAGAAGCAATACAAAGCTTGGAAAGTGATAAGTGGAAAACTGCCATGGATGAAGAAATGCAATCTCTCTAAAAGAACAACACTTGGAAACTGGCTCAATTACCGAAAGGTAAAAGAGCAATTGGATGCAAGTGGGTATTTGCAAAGAAAGATGGATCTCATAGCAAGAAAGATGTTCGCTACAAGGCACGGTTGGTAGCTAAAGGTTACGCTCAAAAGGAGAGAATCGACTACAATGAAGTATTTTCCCCTGTTGTGAAGCATTCTTCCATTAGAATATTGTTGGCCTTGGTAGCACAGTTTAATTTGGAGCTAGCTCAACTTGATGTAAAGACGACTTTCTTGAACGGTGATTTAGAAGAGGAGATCTATATGGCTCAGCCAGAAGGATACAAAGATGGTGGTTGTGAGAAATAGGTTTGTAAGCTGAACATATTGCTATATGGATTGAAGCAATCTCCGAAGCAGTGGTACAAGCAATTTGATAGCTTTATGAGGAGGCAAAAGTACACTAGAAGCAAATATGATCATTATGTGTATTTGCAAAAGCTTAAAGATGGATCTTTCATTTATCTTCTCTTGTACGTTAACGATATGTTGATCGCTTCGAAGATTCAAAAGAAGATAGACAAATTAAAGGCTTAGTTGAATCAAGAGTTTGAGATGAAAGATCTAGGTGAGGCCAAGAAGATTCTTGGTATGAGATAAGCAGAGATAGACAGAGAGGGAAACTTTGTTTAACACAGAAGCAGTATATGAGAAAGGTATTACAATGTTTTGGCATGAATGAAAATACCAAACATGTAAGTATCCCACTGCCTTCTCATTTGAAACTTAGTTCTCAATTATCTCCTAAAACTAACAAAGAACGAGAGTATATGGCAAAAGTTCCATATGCTAATGCAGTTGGGAGCTTGATGTATGCAATGGTGTGTATGCGTCCTGACATTTCACAAGCAGTTGGAGTTGTGAGCAGGTACATGCATGATCCTAGAGAAGGACATTGGCAAGCTGTGAAATGAATTCTCCGGTATCTCCAACAAACCGTGAATGTTGGTTTAGTTTTTGAACAGGATGAAACACTTGGTCAGTGTGTGGTTGGATATGCTGATTCCGATTATGTTGGTGATTTGGATAAGCGTCGATCAACTACTTGGTATTTGTTTACTCTTGCTAAAGCCCCAGTAAGTTGGAAGTCTACATTGCAATCTACGGTGGCCTTGTCTACTATAAAGACAGAATATATGGCAGTTTCAGAGGCTGTAAAGGAAGCAATTTGGCTTAACGGGTTGATGGAAGACTTGGGAGTTGTTCAAAGTCACATTAGTCTCTATTGTGACAGTCAGAGTGTTATTCACTTAGCGAAAAATCAAGTCTACCATTCAAGAACTAAGCATATCGACGTGAGGTATCACTTTGTGCGGGAGATCTTTGAAGAATGAAAGATTCTACTTCAGAAAATTACGACATCAGAAAATCCTGCAGATATGATGACCAATGTGGTAACAGTAATCAAGTTCAATCATTGTTTGAACTTTATTAACATTCTGAAAGTATGGACATCTTCGGGTGTGTGGCGCTTGTGAGCGCAGTTAGAGGCATTACAAATTTGGGGAGTTGAAGAAGTTGAGTAGGCTTGGTAATTTCAAGCCAAGGTGGAGATTTGTTAGATTTGGCTTGAAATTAAGTTGGCAAGTTGGAAATTTCATCTTGGTTGGTGGCCAAACTTTGAATATGAGAATTTCATATTTGGTGGCTAACTTGTATACATTGGAAAATTTTTTGGTAGGTGACCAACTTATTTTTCATGTTTGATCCCTAAAATATTAGGTTATTTATAAGTTTAGTCCTTAAAACTCAACTATAAATAGGCCTAAGTATTTCATTAAAAATCATCTCAAAACAAGTTTTCTCTTCCTCTTGTATTCTTCATTCTCCCACTTTGGGAATTCTAAATAATTCCATTTGTTGTAATATTGGCGATATAGTGAAATTATCATCCGGTGTGGTGCCCGAGGAGTAGACGATATTCTCGTCGAACCTCGTAAATTTTGTTCGTTCTCTCCTTTATTGTTTTTATTCGGTTTTTTTCCATTGTGTTTCAATATTCAATAGTAATTGACAGATTTATCCGCTGTACAATTTTAGTGGTTTTGATTTTGACATTTTAGATCAATTTTGAAACTACGTTCATGTGGAAAATAACTCGATTTCCCCAACAGCAATAATTTCTCTGGTGCGTTTGTTGCAGATTCCTTATGTCAGTAACTGAATTAAATGCTTGGAAAGTTGAAAACTGCCTTCAACTTGGTCTGTGATTTATTGTTCTTTGCAACTGCCGCCCATACTTCTTGCATGCAGATATGCTCGATCGAGATTTTCTTTTAGATGTTTATCCAATTCTTTAATAATGTTTGCATTTAAGAGCCAATGCATGTAACGCTGAAATTGGTGCCTGAGATATGGCGCCGATGTTTGAAGTCGGTGAGTCGTCAGTTCATGCATGTGCTTTTTAATTGTTTTTATTACCAGAAAAAAAATGGCCCCCGATTTCGCCGCCGCTATCCAGTACTGCAATTTGCCGTCTTACTCCAATCTCTATAATATTTACAGAATTAATAACAAAAAATTGATCTCATGATTAAAAATAATACACATTTTGAAACTAAAAAAAAAGGAAACTAGATATTATCAACGAGGACTAAATCCGTTAAAAGACAAAATACAAGGATATTGTATTGTATATATCCAGCTAGCACCACATGGACCGACTGTAGTTCCGTACTTGTTAAGAATATTTTGTAAAGTCCTACGTTCTTGCATATTATCTTTGGTCAGTGACAGCTTAATTTGGAGCTATCCCACTTATCATTTAATTACCAACAGTGAACATGTTACGCTCAAAGAACAACAAACATATATTGCATCATTAATGACCACGTTTCTCCGAGTTTTCCCGGGTACGGCCCTCTGTTTTCCCGAACAAAACGGCTAACCCTAGGTGATCTTTTGCATCACTGGCTCCATTCAACTCTGCTACTGCCAACCCATGTAATGATTCTGGTACAGTGGGTCCTCTAACACAAGAGCCAATTTGGGGTCTTCGATCCTCTTCGAACTGTATAAATAAAACCCGATTTCAACCCGACAAGATTCACAAGTTCAATACTGCAACCAACCCTATATCTCATTGCATTGACCCTTTTCATTGTTTAGAATCAGACGCTATGGGTGTTCGTCTACCGTCCGTGATTGCCGGAGCCAAGCAAATTCTGAAGCTGCAGTCTCGTATCACGAGAGAGAAACCGGATGTTCTGAAATGCCACATTGCGGTATATGTGGGCGAGACACAAAGAAAAAGGTTCGTGGTTCCGATATCGGTGTTGAACCATCCTTCCTTCAAAGATTTGCTTGACCGGGCAGAGGAAGAGTTCGGGTTCGACCATCCGATGGGTGGTCTAACAATTCCGTGCAGAGAAGATGCCTTCTTAAATCTCACTTCTCGATTGCAGGCCTTATAGCTGGGAGATTAAGATAGTCATTTCTTCACAATTTTGCTCCTTTTTTGTGAAATAGAAAACAGCTTTAAAGCCATTCCTTCACAGTTTTGCTTCCATTTTTTCTTTCCAATTTGTGAAAAGGGAAAAAGAACTGTAAACCAATGTAATGTATAAAAGCTTATCAAGCACACAAAATTATCAACAAAAGTATGTTCTTTGATCTCGAGTCCATTCTAATTTTCAATGTTATCGGGTTCTTGACATGTTTTTGGGATGATTTTGACGGGGAAATATGTATAATTTATTTGTTAATACATACTTCAAATCAAAAGGTTGAAGATGCGCATGAAGTTTATTTAAATAATAAATAATGTCTTTTATTAATAGAATGTACTTAAATTCTTGATTTCAGAAAACTAAGAACAAACCTTTTAACATCAAAATGAAAATGAGTTAAACGTTATATAATTCTTAAAGTAATGGCGAATTGTTATACTGTTAAAGATTATTTTGGTTAACTTGGGAACTTGCAAGTTCTTATCAAAACCATAAGGAAGAAAATTCCAGTAACACATATGCCGTATAATTTGGAAAGGAAAAAGAATTAGGATAAGATTTAATGATTAATGAAAAAATGTAAAGCTTTGTGACTAATGTAAAACCTAAAATAATTATAAGGCTAAATTGAAAAGGTTATAGGATTGATGCAAACAAAATAAAGAGTCAAAGTCAAATTAAGAAATTAGTAAATTTAAAGACTAAATATTATTTTATGTAATAAAATTATGTCAAATACTCCCTTCACTTTGTTACACTCTGGTGGTGTTTGTTTTTGAAGAGGTAAAAGGTCTGCAGTTTGCGGACCACATCTACAGACATCTGCAGCAGAAGAGGTGGACCAAAACTCTGCAGTCTGCAAGAAGAAGACTGTTTGTTTTTTAACGTCTGCAGACTACTAAAATAAACTGAAATATAAAATAAACTGATTTTTTAAACTTAAAAGAGTTTTGCAATACTGAAATTTAAATAATTTTAGTTTTATAATACTGAAATTTAAATAATCCATACAACTACAATAATAAATTTTTTAAAATAAATCAATCCATATTTTAAAATAAATCAATCCATATTTTAAAATAAATCAATCCATATTTTAAAATAAATCAATTCATATTTTAAAATAAATCAATTCATATTTTAAAATAAATCAATCCATATTTTAAAATAAATCAATACATATTTTAAAATAAATCAATCCATATTTTAAAATAAATCAATCCATATTTTAAAATAAATCAATCCATATTTTAAAATAAATCAATTCATATTTTAAAATAAATTTTTCCATATTTTAAAATAAATCAATCCATATTTTAAAAATAAATCAATCCATATTTTAAAATAAATCAATCTATATTTTAAAATAAATTTTAAAATAGATTTAAATAATTTTAATTTTCCCGCATATCTTTAAAGACCTTTGAAGACATAAAACCATGTCTGCACCAAGAAGAGCTCGCGCAGGCGTTTGAAGAGTTTCTATCTTCTAAAAAATAAACGGTCTGCGAAGTCTAATATCTGCGTGTGCTCTGCGCGACGCAGACATAAGAGGTTTGAAGAGGTTGCACAGTGAAAACAAACTAAGCCTCTGTTTCCATTCAGACTCTGGATCAGGGGCGTGGCTGGGGCGGCGCGAACTGCGCGAACGTGCAGGCCCCAAAAAAAGAATATATATATAGTGGCGTTTTTCCAATAAATATCACTATAGATGAACCTATTGCGACGTTTTTTAAAAAACGCCACTATTATTGTGCAGGCCCAAAAAAGTCTCAAAAAAGTGTATATATATATAGTGACGTTTTTCCAATAAACACCACTATAGATAGACCTATTGCGACGTTTAAAAAAAACACATTATTGTTACCCCGAAATCGAATATATCTAAAAAATAAGACCCTTTATAAGAATTTGTACAGGACCCCGAAAACTTAACCACGCCATGCTCTGGATGAGGTCAAACTTCAAAGTTTACTGTATGCACGCAGACATAGTTGTTATTAAAGGATGGGCAGATGAAGCATATACGGCGAATTTTGGAGTTACTACTAATAAATATCAACTTGCTGTGTTGCTCTGCGTCAGTGATTCAACTTGATAGGTTAGTTGCTTTACCTCAGTGATCATCAGTAATAGATTGAGAGAATAATTGAGAGGAATTGTTTGTTTAAAAATTTAAAATAATTATATATGTAAACACCAAAACGTTATCTTTGAAGTAAATGAAGTATTTTGCAATGCATGTGAGTGTCAGTCCACGTGAATCTAATCATTCAGTTCAGTACACACATGTACGTGTACATGTGCCATTCAAATTATGTAAATCAAAACTTGCAAGGTTTGGTGACCCTACCAATCCCGATAATTGTGCACCCAACATTGGTAAATGCGACTGTAGACTGTAATCTTTTCAAAAACAGATCTATGGAAATTAAGTAGGGCTTCAGATTATTATTCAATAAAAAAAGCCCATGCCCCCATGAAGCTGAAGGAGCAAGTGGGTCTGTTTTCGGCTTTTTGCACCATAAAATTCGTGAAATTTAATTAACAAAGTCGAGTGATCTGAGCTATGTGGACAACTGCAAACCATCTGACGAAACCAAAACTCGCCGTGTATAAATACATGCACCAAACCAAGCTTCCAATTCCAAGCACTTCTCTCAGTTTCTCTACACAACAATACCAACTTCTTTCAGCTTAAAGTCACCTTCGTAGATCAAATATGGGTTTCCGTTTGCCGGCATTGATCCAGGGTTCCAGGCAACTTTTGAAACACCATTCCGGTTTCTCCCGGAAACAATCGGATGTTCCCAAGGGACATGTTGCCGTTTATGTCGGAGAGGCGCAACCGACACGTTTCGTGGTCCCGATTTCGTATTTGAACCATCCTTCCTTCGCCGTACTGCTCAACCGTGCCGAGGAAGAGTTCGGTTTTAATCATCCGATGGGCGGCCTCACGATTCCGTGCAAGGAAGATGCTTTCATCAGTCTAACGTCTAAGTTGCATACTTGCAGTCCTCATGTACGATGGTGATGGATATAGGAAGCTGTTTCCCTAATTTTGTCAAGTTTTGTTTCTTTTATTTTTTTCCCCTTTTCTGGAGCCGGAAGTGTAAATATTGAACACGTTACCAAATGAATAGTCACCTACTTTTTAATGTGTTTAATTTTCATTCAAAAAAATTAATTTAATTTAATCATCGTTAATATGGAAGTTGTTTATTTTAATGACATTAATGGTAAACTATTTTGTTGGGCACTCAACTTTTAGAGTGCTTTCATTTTAATCATCAATTTTTTTTATATTTTAATCTTTCAACCGTAAACAAATCTCTAAAAGATATTGATGTGACATTTGACTAAATAAAATCACTTTGACCCATTACAATAAAATCTATTTTGACCCGACTTCAATCTATTGTCAGTCTCTTTCCTCCGTCAATCCTATCTATTATTGTTATAACTCCATTTAATTCTATTCGTGATCGATTCCATCAACCACTTATATAATGGTATCATAAAATGCTTATCGATGCAAATTAATAATTTTCTTAGTTTATTATTGACAAGAGGCGAAATTATTAAATAAATAAATAAATACTATTCTTAGATAAATATTAAAAAGTAATATAGAGAAGTAAGATCAATTCACATATACTAAAGAATTTCACTTTACAGTTTCAATTTTTGAATTGAGGATTCTGTAAAAATAATAAAAGGGGTTTTAGTAATAATAAAATTGATATGAATAAAATAAATGATAAAAGATAAATATTAAAAGATAAATAGAAGTAAACAATTGTAAACGAATTCAATAATGATGAGATAACCCTAGGCTTTGTCAGCATACAATCAACAGGGTCAACCCCACACCTAATTCTTCTCTCCGGTTAATTGAAATATCAAAGTCTATTTCTGAAATCTAATCTTTGTTAGTCTAATTACGTCTATCGTCGTTAGCACCGCTATAATTTTAAGCGTTGTAAGAGCTCAACTAGAGTTATAGCGTCTCACTGAGAAATGAACTCGATCTTGATTCCTCTTAGTGGACTGCTGCTAAGTTTGTTTACAAGAAGCCGAATTACAACAAATCGATCCGACTTTCAAATCGTAAGCCAAAATAAACTTCAAACCAATGACGTCTTTTTGAATTGAAAATGTAATGACTTTAAAACAATAACGGATTGTCACTCATAGTTTCTAGAGAATCAAAGGACACAATCCAAAGGTAAGAAGAACAATACACAATTCTCACGATTCAAAATTGAACATTGCAAAGCTTACATCTACGTGAAATTTTAGCTAAACGTGGATTAGGTCATGCTTGACATTTTGTTGTGGAAAAGTAAATAAAGAAGAAAAGAAAACAGAACTTCAAATTAAACCAAAGAAAAAAATAACAAATTCAAAATTGTCTTTAAGAGTTGAACCTAGTGGTATTTATCTCCGAGAATTTAAAGTAGATAAAACAACTAATTACTAAATAAAAGATAAAGATAAAAATAAAATAATATTCAAACTAAAAATCTTAAAATTTAAAATAAAGTTTTATCACAAAAGATAAAGATAAATAATTAAAACTTTAGGTTTTGGTTGAATTTTGTTTTATCGTTTGGATAATCTTCCCTTAGACATTTATCTTTAAGATAATTTCGAATTTGACTTCAAGATAATGTTGTGCTATCTTCTAGAAGTTGCTGATTGTATTGCCCAAATCTATTGCGTCAGACTTGAATAATGTCGTGCCCCAGGTCGTTCCCATGACTCCTAGAAAAGTTTCAGATTCTACCTTTATTTATTGGTTTCGGGTTGATTAATCAAATGATATTTCTAAAAAAAATAAATCTAAACAGAAATAAATCAATAGTATAAAGTGAAAAATGAACAATAAATATCACTAAAAATATGCAACATTGTTTACTTATCAACTATACACATATATGTACTTGATTTGATTAATTTTCTTAGTTTACTATACAAGTGTGTATATAAATTCTCGTTTTGAGAATTGTTGTTATTTGAATCCTAAACCTTTCATAGATTTTGACATGTAAGCCATTAGATAATTTAATTATTATTTAACGTTAGATCAAAACTTTCACATTGTTATATTTCAATGTTTCATATAGTTCTAAAAAAAGCCTTAGCTTTTATTGTTTGGTTTAATTCTAATAAGGAAGAACAAAATTAACTTATGGTTTGGTTAGTTTAGATGTGGAACTAAGACTGTTATTGGTATATTACAAAGGGATTTTTTTTTAGTGAACGCGTCACAAGTCATTTTGCTTGAAATGCCACAGTACCAATATTTAATAAAATGGTTTGTGGACGGAGCTAGATAGATGTGATGGTTTGAATGCTGTAATGGTTTGGTCAGGGCAGGTGATGATGTTGGTTAGGGAAGAAGTCCAATGAGACGTTAAATACGGATAAAACTGAGTTTTAATATTGTGGGTCAATTTGAATTTTATTTGATCAAATGTCATGTCACCATATGTTTGGAGATTTAATATAAAAAAAATGTCCTAAAAGAAGGGTGATTAATTGGATAGTTTATCATTAATATTCCTAGGAGTTGGATGATTAAAAATGAATAATTTCCCTACTAATAGTGACTAAATTAAAAGTATTTTCTAGATGATCGAAGATTTGAAATTTCCAAAGGATAAACCCGGTCTATCGCACCCTAATATTCCTTTGATCCATCCATGTTATTGTAACTACATGGTCAATTTTCACTAGTACAAAATTGAACTGTTATTAAATTACATTGTAACTGTTATTTATAGTAGGGATGGAGTGGACATAACATAAAAAACATGACACAGTTAAAATCTTAATCTAAATTATAATGATTTTATTCTTATAAAATCCCATGTGGAAACAAATCTTGATATTTTGGATTAAGAAAAAAACAAATGTAAAATGGTTATTAAAATAGGCCAAACAAGAGAGATTCCGAAACTATGTTGGACATGTTCCGATACAGTTGGTCAAGATCCAAGGTTCCATCAAGTTGGAAGCTTGGAAATCTGCAACCTATTTCCATAAAAGGATGGAAACTTCATTTAAAAAAATGCGTGAGATTTGGCCAATCATTCAAAAAATGGAAATTCATTATCACTCCAATCATATAATATCTATTTCAAACGACCTTCCCTCTCCTTAATTATATCCTTTAATCATTGAAAGATTAATAATTTTTTACTACTTCCATTATAAGTTTTAGTATTGCATAGTTCCCTGTACTAAAACAATACTCAAGGGCAAATATATAATTTTATATTAAGAGTAAATGTATAACAACTTTAGCAAAAAAAAATTATAAAATTTTAAGAATAAAATAAATTATCAATAAAAATATTTAAATTATATAAAAATTTTAAATTTTAAAAGCATAACAATACCAAATATGTGACCAATTCAAACTTCTTAATTATATTTTATATTTAACTATTTATAGTTTATATGTTCTAGTAGGTGTGTGATTGTATTATTTAGGTTTGGGGCCGTCATTTATCTTTTAGTGTTTTTTTTAATTCTTTTTCTTCGATTATAGGTGAGAATAAAATGTTGATCTTTGAACAAGTGACTGCAATTCATATTTTATCCTTATTTTTATTATTTTTTTCTTTTTTCTTTATATATATATATTTAAGTTTTTGTGTTATTTTATTTTATAAGTCTATTTCTTCTCTAATGAAAATGAAAAAAAAATGAAGAAATTTTTTCTATTATTGCAACATATTTTTTAGCGTTTGTTTTAATATTATGTCATCGATTAGTGTTTATTTGATTATCCTATTAATTTATGTCTATTTTAGATTATTGGATTAATTATTTTATATTGATAGATGTATAAAAGATATATTATTGTTGAGTTGTAAATCAATGTTTTTAGTACTTTATCCTATTTTACTAAAATTTTAATGATTAGTTTATGCATTATAATTATTTTAAGATAAATAATTGATTAATATTAGTCAATCAATTGGGCAAAAGCCATGTGAGTGGTAAAAAGAAAAAGGTGTCAGATGTGGCCATGTGGGTCATATTTGAATCCAATACCAATGGAATTGCATGCCAATCTGATATTTTCAAAGACCTGGTTGCCTATAGATGCAAACACCAAAGCAAGAGAGCTTCAGCCTGGAAAATTAGATCTCATTTCAGTACCTATCAACCAAAGCCCAATTTCATCATCATCATCATCATCAAGCTCAAAGCTTTTTGTCACTACGATTAAAGATCAGCTATGGGTAACCGTTTACCTTCTGTGATTCAACATGCCAAGCAAGTTCTCAAACTGCGGTCCAAGAGCCAAAGAGATGTTCCAAAAGGCCATATTGCAGTGTATGCGGGAGAAATCGAGAAGACAAGATTTGTGGTTCCCATTTCATACTTGAACCACCCTTCTTTTCTAGATTTGCTCGACCTCGCCGAGGAGGAGTTCGGGTTTAATCATCCCATGGGCGGTCTCACGATTCCGTGCGACGCCGATGCCTTTATTCATCTCACTTCTCGGTTGCATGCTTGCTGAAAGGATTAAAAAACCAGCAAGACTTTAGCTAGAAACATATGGTTTTGGTTTCCATTGTAGAAATATGAAAATTTGTAACTGTAGATACCAGCTCATGACAATTGACATGAAAGTGAGTGAATGAGAATGAAATTCTTTGTTTCTGAATCCAAATAAGCAATCTGATTAACTTTTAATACAGTACATAAAAGGAACAACAAACAAATATATTATTGTTTGATTTGCAAGTCAATTGATGTTGTTTAGCTAACCATAGCACAATTAGGCAACACAGAGTTCAGCTAACCAACTATGCATATCTGGTCAGAGATCCACCAAAGTCGAAGGTGAGTTTTTCTTCTTCTTCTTTTTCATTTTTTTTTTCTAATTTTGATTGTTTTTTCTTATTGTTTTCCGCTTCTTGTTATGGATGGTTGTTTTTTTAGTTGATCGGATGGGGTAACTGAAAGTTTTATAGATAGTAATTGAAAATGTTGTTTAGGTATAATTAAAAAAGACATGCTGAAATATTGTTTTTTCTGCATTAGTTTAATGGAACTGTACCATATAGACAATAAAACAACATATTTATTAACCTTTCTCATCAGATTTCGGTTTGTCAAGAATGGATGATCCATTCCATGACAATCACCTAAAACCAGCCCTGTCTTGGTTCCATGATTACTTTTTTCTCCACCTGCAGGAACTAGGAAAGCTTCTGCATTTGTTTCATTTATACAAGCAACTTCTTTTAAGGGTATTTCCTCAACTTCATCGCCAACTCCACCAATGTTCAGCACAATGCTCAAGATCTATTTTTAGAATTTGCGATAAAGATTATAAGAGAAAAGAAACATGAACTAATTGACAAACGGTGATAACGTATCATACTTATGCAAGGAGGAGGATGAAGATGCTATGGGATCATATTAGGCAAGTCAAAGCGATGGATGCAGTGAGATGAGGAAGGGAAATGGAGCTTTGTAGGGGAGAGATATATTTATCCAGTGTTTCAGATATGGCCTAACATTTGTTTGGGGAAAGAGATGGTGATCTTATATATGAAATGGCAATGGATGAGTGTAGGATGTGATCAGTGGTCGACATGCCACATGCCTCCTTAGATTCTTATCGATCCTGAACTCTACTGCTACCTATTTTTGCATTGAGAATTTGGTACATACCATTATGTCTGAGCTGATAAGGGATTCTATACATTTTTTCTTCAGAAAAAAATAAATAAATATCTTGCATTCCAAGCTTCTTTATCCATGTTCTTAACTTCATCAAGTTCTTGAGCTAAAATCTCATTAGCTACAAAATGATCACCGGATAAGATTCTATGTTTATCTTCCCATCGACTACTCATCAATCTAGTCAGTAGAAGAGGGGTCATGAAAGTACAAGTCATCAGCTTATGTTTGTGGAAACACAACTGATTATTCCAAGTTGCTTCCATGTCATCAGTTCTGAAGATTCTACCTCTAATGCAAAGATAGATTGCCGGTTCGAATGTTGCGTTGCTGATGGGAGATTCCTTTTCCCAATCGCATTTGGGAAGCATTCCACTCACCTGGTTTTCCCGTGAACGGAGAAGCAAGCTTTGGTTGAAACCATCTTCTTAGTGCAAGACCATTGATTCTGATTTTTCCGTAGGATTCATTCCCTTGGTATGGTAGCCCCATTCTTCTCAGCAGTGCTGCAATTGCCTGGCCAATCCTGTCAGACAGTAACTCACATAAGAAACCATCATTCCAATTCACAGATTTTTGGATATATATTCTCATTGCTTGAAACATAAACTGATAACCGCTAGTTTCTGCTGCAAAAATGGTTATGACTACGACAACTTAAAATAACCACCACCTCATAAATGGTCTATATCTTTCTTACTGTTGGAAAACTCCGTGTTCCTTAATTTTAACAAAAGTAACTTTCTGAACCATTATATTAGTAACACATGATAAAGTACTAAAGATATCTAGCACGGATTGTGGTAATGTCTCCTGTTAAATATTTGGGATGTGTAGTATGACTGCATGAATGTTGTTTATGCAAGCAGAAGCTCCTCTAACCTTCCAGCAAGATCAATTGATTTCTCCCCTTCAGATGTCAATAATGTTGCCTTCTCCAAGGGCAGTAAGATGGATATACTTGGTAATTTTGCACCTACACAAAGATCGGAGTACCAGGAATACTAACAGAAGTTAGTAATGTAATATGAAAGCAATCCTATCATATACAAATGTTATGCAATTAAACAAGTTGTTTCCGCCATTTGATTATCAGTATACAAAATACTCAACAGTTGATGCAAGGGAAAGAATTTGCGGGAGAAGCAGTCGGCTGTTAAGAGCAGTTGAGAGTCGGTTTTTTTTATAAGATTTGAAGGCCTCATTAAAAACCTCCTTCTTGATTAATGGAGCTTATATAGAAGATCCTTAATCAACGGAAGGAGGAAAAGAGTGCCTTAGAATTTCATTAAAGAAAATAATAATTACAACGTAGGTAAATCTATTCCAAATAACCCTTACAACAATCAACAAACTCCCGTCCGAATAAGAACCAGAAAACCAAACTGAAAATGCAAACCACATAAATCAGCCTATACCAGCCTTTGCTAAAGCATCAGCGTCCATATTAGCTGTCCTTGCAACCCATCTAACAACCCCCCAAAATTCTAAGATTATCAACTATATCTCTAACAATGAAAGCATATACAACTGGACATGAATCAACATTGTTGATCCAGTCTACTGCAACCCTGCTATCACTCTCAACAATCAGCCTATCTTTAACCCTCCCTTGAAAAGAGGCAAAGAAAGAAATACCCCTTTGAATAGCTTTAAGTTCCATCAATGTCGGGGGTTCCGAACCAGCAGGCTCCTGAAAAGAACCTAGGATTGCAGCTGAATGATCCCTCAAAAGACCTCCAAGACCAGTTTTCTTCCAATCACTGCTAGTGGCAGCATCCACATTCAATTTGATGAAACCCATAGGTGGAGGTAACCAAGGGATTATTGAAGACTTCATAAAATTGTAGGACGAGTAAGAATTCCCTATTGAAGGATCAGAAATCAAAGAGTCCTTAGGAATAGAAACATCCTTATGCTTAGCTAGGAACCAAGAAGCAAGCCTAACTCTTGCTAAGAAGAAAAATTCTGTCTGATCAAGCTTCCCCCCTTCAAAAACAATAAAATTTCTGATTTTCCAAATGGTTGTAAATTGTTGAAGATTATATGGCAAGAATCTAAAAGAGATGATATTAGTGTTGTAGGGATGCTGAAGAGAGAACAGCTTCCGAACAGTGCCACTGATGGAGGTTTTTAGAGAGAAAAGATAAGAAACATTCTTTCCCTTGCATCAACAGTCTTCTGCTAAAAGACTCATAGTTCCAGCAATCTTACAAATCAGGGATTTATTTAAAAGTCGAGGCAAATCCCAGAGTAGATAATAAAAGAAAAGGAAATCATATTACCAGCGGCAAGCCGATGCTTGAGACCTTTCAATATATTTAAGAGATAAACCTGACCAAATTGTCCACAGGAATTAGTATTATGAGATTCTTAACTAAAGCATTATGTACTTTGCACAAATCAACCACACACAGTATAAAATTCATTGAGCTTTATAAAATTCTGACACTTCATTCATGTTTTCTGTACATTGGAACTAATAAACATAATATACTACGTAGGAATTCAAAACAAAAATGATAAAATTCCGAAGGGGAAAGCAGAGAGAAGAAAATAAGCAAGGGGGAAAAACAGAAACTTTCTCAGGTTAATCGAATTCCAGTTGTCATAAATTTCTACATAGATCATCAAAGGAAATTATAAAGACCAAGCAGTTCAAGCATTCATATTCTCCGTAAACTACAGGGCATATAAAGTTTCCAAATTCCAATGCACTCTCATAAGGAAGCAATTAGCCTCCTTGCAGAAAAAGATAAAGTTCCTTAAAGATATGGAACTTTTTATGATATTCCACGAGAGGAGAGAGATGTACATACCTCCGCTGTATTAATTTGCATCTCTCTTGCATCTACAACAATAGGACTTTCTTTGAAGGATATGCATGGAACAATCCCAAAAGAAGCAGCCTCCTACAAAAGGGTATCACGTGCATGGAATATAACCTCTATTTCCAAATTCCAAATCATGAGCACAAAGAACAGGCAAATTAAAGTTGAGCATTACTTACCTTGAGTACTGAAAAAGCACGAGGATCATATTCACCAAATCCATCTATCAGTGAACCAAGGCTAGAGTATCTTGATGGATCAGCAGTAACTTCAAGGTTCTCAACAAGTCTACTTCTCACAGAATCATCACAAGGGAGCTGCAAACATCCTAAAATTTTTGAAACAACTTCCATGGTAGGTACTATACCAACATTAATAGTTTCACGGTAGACAGTCAAGGCAACCGACGTCCTAAAATCCAAGCAAGAAATCAACATCAGTTATTGCCAAAACCTTTTGTAGTTTTCAAAGTAAATACAGAAACTAGGAATCATACATAGCATTTTTCAATCAGAACATTTTTGTTTATTAGCATGAAGTAGGAAAAATTGACCAAGTTCGCCTATCAGGTATCATTTAGAATAATATTCCCATAAATATATGATAAAGAGAAGTCATATAGAATACAACCCTCCCCTAACAAAGAAAAAATTGACAGCTCTTCAGTATTTCTACTAAGATCAAAGACAAAAATGGGTTTAATTAAAAACAATCTTAAAGTTGTCAAAGGAATCATGTACCATTTGTTTTCAATATGCGGCCGTCCTGAATTAAAAGACAAAACAGGCTCACCAACCGTACAAGCCTTCCTAAATTTGCGCAAGCACATGTCTACAAAGAGATAATACTGAAAGATTATATAAATTCATTGAAGATTGTATGTATGTGTGCGTACCTATAGGGCATAAAATGATCTTTGTATGAAAGCCCTGTAGTTCACTTGGAATATGTATGTGCGTGCACCTAAAACTATAGGCATATATTGTGTGTGTTAACT